AGGAGTTTGAACCCAGGGCCTTTGCTATATCCCCACTGGTCCCCCCTCCCTTGCCCCAGTGAAATACGTTTTTGAGCCAGAGTCTTGTTAAGTTGCCCGAGCTGAACTCAAATTTGTGGTCCTCCTACATACATCAGCCTTTCAGCATGCTGGAAAAACGACCTTTTAGCCACCACTTCATGTTCAGTTTCACAGCCTCCCATCCCACACTGCTCATAGATCTGGAAACACATCAAGGCAAAAGTACTAATAAATGTTGCAGTCACCTCCATGTTCTTTTCTTCTCTTTGGGACTCTTGCCTCTGAAGTCTTGTTGTCTCTATGATAGTTTCTTGATACTTTTAAACAGGTGTGTGCACATGCATTCATGTGTTTGTATATCCAGCTCTTCTAGTTGTCAGTGGGAGGGTAGATATTTAGTAAGTTACTCTGTTATTACTGGAAATGTAAAGCCCTCCATTTGCTTTTAAAAGAATCCTCAGGCTTATGAGAATTTTAAAATAGCCTATAACATTTTAACTGCCATTCTAACTAGAGTCATGTGTTGTGAAACATGGGGCTGGATAGTTTCATCATTGTGCGAACACCATAAATTATGCTCACTCAGGCTAAGATGGCTATAATGTCACTGGACAGTACACTCTTATGGGGCCTCTATCATATGATGTGCTGAGGGAAATGTCATGCAGTGCATGACTGTATTATGGTCATAGAGGTCATGGAAATGGTATCCTACTTTTTGATATTTCCTTTATCTAGGAGTGTCTGCAAGGGCATCATAGGTAGAAGTGGCGAGAGAGGTTACAAAATTACAGGTGAGAAAGGGGACAGAAGGATCATATCTTTGGAAAAAATACTGAATGTCTTTAAAACACACTTAGAGTATTTTTCTCAAAGCAATTATCTAGTTTAATGGTAACTGCTTATTTGCTATCTTTCTGTGATTTTTGCACATGTAAAGTGAGGCCAACCCTTCCTATTTTCATTTCACTTGCCACTGTCACTACTGGTGACTGAGGATGAGACAAACTCTTTATTTTTTGGTGAAGAAAAGCAGTGATGCATAGGTTTCTAAGTCACATGGCTAGGCAGTGAGTACCATGGTGTTCAGGTCCAACTCACTTGGGGCTATAAGCATGAGGGGTAGAATCAAGTTATTCCAGGTGTTCCTCCCAAACAGTAATATATATCTTCCTTTGACCACATAGATGGGCCCTCCTTTCTCTATTCAACTGCTGTGTCCTGACTCAGGACTGCATTGTCTTTCCCTAAACCCCTTTAGCAGCCTCCTCTCCCTAGTCCTACTCTCATCAATCTACTTCCATGCTACAGCTAGAGGGATCTTTCTAGATCTCAGCCTCTAGTATCAGATTAACCCCCTCCCGTTTCTCCCCAGTTTTTAGAATGACATTTGCATGATCTGGAAAGCCACCTGGGACCTGGTTTCTGTTTATCCTCCTCTCCCCCATTCCTGCCCAACACCCTGACCTTCTCACCTCTGGGAGTCATATGCTGTCCACCAGACACCCCATCCCCTCTGCACACTGCTGTACCAGCTGGGCCTCACACCTGCTCTCTGGCTCATGTCCTTCTGTCTTACATCTCAGCCCAGGGGTGCCTCCTTTGGGAAGGCTGCCAGTCCCGTATGAATCAGATCTCCTTGCTTTGAGTCCCTAGAGTCTCCTCTGCACTGGTGCACATGAATGGCATTGTCATTGCTTGCCTGTTTCCCCTGAGACTAATAACTGACTGATAGTCTTTCATGTATGACCAGCACATTGCCTGGCATAAAGTAAGCACCCAATAAATTTCAAATGCAGCATATGTTAAGTTCCCTATAAACCCTCAGCCACTGCCAACTCTGCTACCAGTCTGGGTGTTCTCTGCAGGGGATCCTTCAATTTTCAGAGCAAAAGACAGACACCTGTAGAATTTTAGCAAGAAAAGGTAGGTTCTAGCCTTTATTCAATAAGTGGGTTTTCAATTTTAGAAGTGTCAGTTTGTAGTGGTAACTTTTTTTAGCAGTAAAATTTTAGCAACTATAGTCTGTGCCAGAGCCTTAGGCTTCCCTCTCTGCTGAGTTCCTCCGCTTAATTGCTGTGCTGAGCAGAGGGAAGCTGTGCTTCCAAAAACGAGAAGGAAATCACTAAATGGTGCTGCTACTTTTCCTCTGCTGCCCTCAGGAAGACAGCACAGTATGGGAAGGAGGGTGTCCTTTGGGGTTGTTGGCCTGTTTCTGATCACTTTGCCCTCCTCTGCTTCCACCCACGGCTCAGTGTGGTTTGAGTTCCTGTCTGCCCCAAGTTACTGGGACATGTAATAAAAAGCTGCTTTCCAAACTCCTTAATTAAAACAGGTTCATGCAATCATTGCCAGAAAACGTATCCACAACCCTCAAGGTGCAAATGCATTGCTTATCCAAAATAGGCTTCGACATGACTAAGGTTTCCCTCCTCAGTGGTTATGGTTTGCTGGCCACACATTTACAAATAGCCCTCCCTTTCAGCCGCCTGTATTTGCTAGTTATTTGTCACTCATTCACCTCCATTCCCATATATGAAACATTCCTCTCCCCCTTTCCTCTATATGCTCTTAGGTAAACAAGCAGTATTTTAGGGTGGTGACAAAACCTAAAGTGCTTGGAATGATTTTTAAATAGTATTTTATGGACAGCAAGGAAAGTGTTACTGCTGATTCCAAGAATAAGTCTGGTCGCACTGCTTTACCAGCTTTAAGGTGGAGGACAATTTATTTGAACTTCTCCATAAAATGGGGGTGATAGACATGAAGGAGTTAAGTGTAAATCCTTGAGATAGCCTTAAAAAGTGCAATTTATTTGTAAACATGTTGGAACTTTGTTCATTCACTGATTCGTTCTTCTCCACACCATCAACAAACTTTAAGTTCTGGTTAGAAGAGTCAACAGGCAAGGACAATCTGGATCCCAGGCATGTGCCTTGCTCCTGAAAAGGACAAGGATCCTAAATGTTTTTCCTAAAATCTGGAGTTTCAGAGAGTTTTCTGGAAGTAATATGTCCAAAGGTTCCTCCATCACTTCCCCCGGTAGGTCCCATATTTTACTTATGCAAAATAATTGAATCTACCTCTGAGCGAATGCTTGGCTGAACACAAATATAGATTGTCTGCTGATCACTCAGGTACTCACCCATGAAGTCACTTGTGGCCCTTTTTCCCATTCCTCATATCCCACAGTTCAGCAGCTACAATGTGGCCACATCTGCTACCTGTCCCATGTCCCCTGGCTTTGCCCTCCCATTTCCTGTCCTGGGATGCTGCTAGAGACTTTAACCTGCCCTCTGGTATCTCTGAGTGTGTTCTACTCAGCACATGCTCTGAGGAAATACAAGATTCCATGCCCAATAATTTGGGCCCACCCCCTATTCTTAGAGGCAATTACAGTAAAATCAGAAATAAACAAGACAGAGTAAAATCCTCTTTCACTTTGTTTAACTTTATTTCCCTCAGCTTATTGTAGACTTTTTTTTTTTTAACCATTGTCCCAGGGAACTGAAGTTCCTAGAACCCCCTCGGAGAATGCTGCTACAATTGGCTTGTTAAAGTTAACTTGAGCCCAAACGTTGGTCACTGTGTGCATTTCAAAAGGAGATGGTATGGACATAGCTCATCTCCAGAATGTGTGCTGGGTGAAGAGGGCAAAGGCAATGTAGGCTGAGGCTTTGCTTACCTGTGTGTGTATATGCTGGACAAAGACCCACTTCCCCAAAAATGGCAGGAGTGTCTGCCTGTAGGGAAGAGGGCTGGGTGTCTCTGAGAGGTGGAAGCAAACTCTTTATGTCTCCCAGGACACAAAAAGCTTTCTACTGTTTTGACCAAAACACTACTCTACTCCTAGGGCCTCCTGAATTCACACAGAGAATAGCTTGAGCTCCTGGGCTCTGTACTCATGGCCCAGAGCTTGCCTTTTGCTGCCCCCATCCCCCAGCCTCTCTTGTTTCCCAACAAGGCCATTCCCACTCTCTTGTGCCTCCTCCACCCCACATCGCTCTCTGTGATGGATATAGGGGCAGAGGGGACTTGGTTATTGGTGCTGCTTTCCTTTGCCACCTCTCATATAGCAGAGCATGTTGGCCGTGGATATGGCACTACCTCCCAGCTTTTGCCTCTAACTCTCAGCTGTGAGATCTTGGGGCCCAGAGTCCTCTGAAGGCAGTGACACTGTGTGTAAAGGCCAGGAACTCCAGGGTTAAAGATGAGACTTGAAATCTTTACTGGCCCTGTGACCTGGGAAACCTAGTCTTGTGGCTTTCCTTTCCTTTTCTGTGCAGTGGAGAATAATACACCTTAGCTCACAGGGCTTGGGCATGTTGCTCATCTCTCTAGAATACCTGGCACGGGCTGGCATCTTGTAAGTGTTTAGGGCATATGTGCCGTCTTCTCTTCCCTTCCTCTCTTTTCTCCCTGTGACTTCCAGCCTGCCATTCTTTTGGGTCCTGAAGTCTTTGAGTTTCAGAGGAAAGAACACAAAATCTGAAGTCAAACTTTCATCCCTGACTCCATGAATGACTAACCCTTGGGGGGATGCTGAGCCCCCCAGTGTTTTTTGGTTCCCGGCTCTAATACAAAATCTGTAATCTCAGTGCACAAGAGCTTTGATCATCAAAGCACCATGGATGCAAAGGGTTAGCAGTGAGTGCAGATTCTCTCCCACCCTGCAACTGGCTTCTAAGAATTTTTGGAAGATGAAGAAAATAATGTCTTCCATATGCTCAAGTGAAGATGATTTAGCACTATGCAAAGTAGAATAAAGAAGCCTCACCATTAGCAGAATGACCCAGAGACAAGCTGATAATGGCCCTAGGCCTCACTTACCTCATCTGAAGTATGAAAGCAGTAAAGCTCCGCCACAAACTGGTTGTGAGGATGCAAAAGAGAAGTCATGCAGAAGACCTTTGTAAGCTGTGAAACACTTCACAACTGTCAGCTACATCCGTGGTTAACTTGCCTGTTTATTGTTACAGCGGAGGGTGCAGGATGTCATCAGCCCCATCGTGTTTGAAGCTGCCTACAGCCTTGGAACACATGTGACTGGTGAGGAGGAGAGAGAGCTGCCAGCTCTGACACCAGTTCTACGCTGGAAGAAGGGACAAAAGATTGCCCAAAAGAATCTGGTGAGAACCTAAAAGCTAAAAACTGGGGTTCATGGTGGTAGGCACATGAGGCAGAAATAATGATCTAGAGTAATGCTCAGGGTTCACCCCTGCCCTTTCTTGATCTATAAAATGAGGAAATAAATGATCTTGTTTTCTCTTAACTGCTATAGGATCTAAACATATTGAGACCATTCTCAGGCTATTAGGGATACTAGAAAATTGTAATTCCTTTGAGGTCATAAACTGATCCTCAAACTTGTTTTCTGTTCCTAAACTATTTCTAGAGCTTAGATTGGTACACAGTAGTTCCTCAGTGACTGCTTTATTGGTAGGGGGGTAAGTGAAGTAAAGAAGGAAAAGCTGCAGCTTACTGAGTTGGTGGCTGAATTAAATATACCTGACCCAAGTGTCTCTGGAAGCCAGACCACTGGGGCAGGTACAGGTGGGAACCCATCCTGCTCCATATTCAGCAGATTCTGGTTTGTATGCTGTGTAGGAGCTTTGGAATGATGTTGGGTGCAGGGCATGTAAGTAGGGATGAGCTTATGAACTGATTCTGTGCTGGAGCAGTTCCAACCTATCTGCCCTGAGCCATCTATGAGAGGTGCAGTGCCCAGATCAGGAAAAACTGCTTTTTGGCTGCACCAAACTTTGTCAAGGTAGGGACAAAGCTGAGGAACCACCTGCTGGCCCCACTCTCATGGTTCTTCAGCCTGCTGTGAACAGAGAGGAAAACTAGCAAATCAGTGAGCTGCAGATGAAGATGTAAATAGAGTCACAGGGAAGGGTTTGGGATTTGAAATGTCCATTCAGGTGTTTAAATAGGTAGTGAGGTTTTTACCAAGGCATCTCTGTTTTCTCCCAAAGTGTCTCTGACACTGCCTTTGCTTGAGTTCCCTAGAAACAGAGTCTGAGATGCGGATTTGGGAGTACATGGTCTCATGAGGCCAAACTCTGCGGGAAACTGGTAAAGGAAGGGTAAGAGGCTACACAAGTATATGGTCTCAGCTAAGGTCTAGATAGGGGAGAGTGGAGCATAAATGACAGCAAGGTTGTCCTCTCCTTGAGACATGAAGGCTGGCCTCTGTATCCCCATATTGGTCAGCTGTTGGCTGGCCATGGGTGAGGAAGAGGAGGCTGTGTAGCCCTCCCTGAAGAGAGGTTCCTTTAGCTGAGGGTAGTTCTCTGGTGGAGGATGCAGATGGGCTGGGGAAAGGCTGGCAGTTGTCAGTTCCCATTGCACTTGTAGACACGAAATACTGCCTTTGTGATGATGCTTTTGATTTAAACATGAGCTTTTTTATCTTAAGGAACTTAATTCTTTCTCATTGTATTTTTTATTAGTACATAGTGATTACATTCATCATAGGGAGTTGGTATATGTACATAAAATATCTTTATTTTACATCCACTTCCCCCTCTCCTCTTGGTCCCATTTCAAAGCACAAAGCAGTCTTCCTGGAAAACAGTCCCCCCTTCAGGTCATAGATACTTGGAGCCTCTGTAGTAATCCTTCCAGGGACATTACCTGAGATGCACTCCAACGAAACAAGAGTGACAACTAGAAGGACTGAGGCTATGGAATCCGAGAAACCATGGCACCCAGAAATGTAATGAGAAGAAATCCCAGGATGATAACTGTGGAAGTCTATAAAATTTATCCGATGTAGAACAGGACATCAATGAACTTGCAGAAGAATGAAGCCAAACAATAGATAGAATGACGAGGAAGTGGCAAATATTCATAACATAGTATATTTTGAATATTTGTATTTATGGATAAGAAAAAATAAAGGCAGTCAAAAATTCCTGGAATCACAAGTTTGAGCCCAGCCTAGGGAACTTACAGAGATCCTATCTAAAAATTTAAAAAAAAATTACCTAGGGATATAGTTCAATGGAAAGGTGCTGAGTTCAATTCTCAGTACACCAAACCAAACAACTAACTCTTGGAAAAATAGAAATATGGTCACTTTCTCATGGTTCAAATATAAGGCAAATTAAAATGTGGGATTTTGAGCAAGTAGAAGAATGTAAGGAAGTAAAGGAACTTGATAGAAGAATATTCTCTCATAAGTGGAAGTTAAATATTCCTGGCTTTTCATTTTGTCTCAGTAGATAGAGAAGAATATATAAGCACTGCATTTGTCTTGGCTCCACTGTGAAAAATAGTCGTGTAGTCATAATAGCACTATTTATGGTTTTCATTCTTTACCATTAAGCCAAAACAGAGATATAGTGATAGTATAAAATACAAATGTCATCAAATTTGAATGTATAGAGGTAAAAGAATGACAGCAGTTCTCTTAATGCTTCAGTCTTTCAAATTGGTGAGTCAAGTGATAGTCCAAAACTTGAAACAGGAAGTAGCTTTTTATTATTAAAGTTGCAGAGGTCACCAGTAGAACAGTGTTTCTTAAAGTGTGGTTCATGAACCAGCAACATCAGCCTCTCTTGGGAACTTGTGAGAAATGACAATTATTGGGCCACCAAGTCAGAAATTCATGGGGTGGGCCCTGGCAATCTGTGTTTTAACAAGCTGACTAGTGATTTTGATGCAACTAAAGTTTGAAAACCACTTCAATAGACACCTAGAAGTGGTGATTTGCCTGACAAAACAGGAAGAAGGAAGGGGATCATTGTGTGAGTAGATAAATTCTTGTCTCTCAAGGCAGGAATTCAGTAAGATGTGTAAATCTAGTAAATCAAGGAATATTTTCTTATATCATCATGTTTTTGAGAGCTATGGAAATAATCACTGAAGAAACATAAACAGACATGTGTAACAGTGGTTTCCCCTTGAGAGAAGGACTCAGTACGGGAGGTGTGCAGTGTGTGTGTGGGGGTGGTGGTGGTATTTTTTTAACCATGTGATTCTTTGGTGGAAAGTAAAATAAAAGAAAAATATTGGTGTTAGATTGGGAAGATTGTCCAGCAGCCTAAGAAAAATACTGGAAGAGCAATTCTTGCTTACTCTTCTTTTCCTGATTATGAATAAAAAGGAAGATAATTTAATGATATCCCTCCATGTGTCTTCCAGATGTTGGCTCAGTTTGAGGGGAGGAAGAATTGAGAGCTAGGCCCACTCCAGGAAGCAAAGCTGGTTTAAACCAGAACTCAAGGGCAGCTGTACCACCTCAAGCCCATTTAGTACATGAATCCCTCCTCTTTGGTCCATCTCTGCTGCTAGCCCCTCCTTCAGGCCAGGTTACTTTCATTTGTCAACTAGACCGGGCTACTTGCCTGCAAACCACCCCACTGGTTTTGTCTGGATGAGGTCCACAGGCTCTTGCCTGATGGATGGGGCTGCTGCCTCTCCAGAATTGTTCAGTCTCACGTCCCACTCACGTACTGCAGGCCAGCTGCCTTCAAACTTACCAAGCCTTTTCTTGCCATGAGCCCTTTGCACATGCTGATATCTCTTCTGTAAAGCTCTTCATTCTGGTTTCCTAATGGGCAGTTTTTCATTTTTTAGGTTTCAACCTAAATGTTACCTCCCCAGAGAACCATCTCTTTTCTACTCTATGTTCTCTGCCTTAGCTGCCTACTAGATTCCCTTATGACAACATTCATAGTTTATTATTTTTGCCAGTTGTTTTATCTCTCTCTCTCTCGCTCTCTCTCTCTCTCTCTCTCTCTCTCTCTTCCTAGAAAAGAAGCCCAGGGAGAGCCAAGGTTTATTTTATCTTATTTACTATTGATCTCCAATACCTAACATAGTAAATGGCTTTTAGTAGATGCTCAGTAAATACATCTCAGTTAGAAGAGCCCTTCTGAAGGAACACAGAGCTAGATCATTCTGTAATGGTTCAACATCATATACGAGATTATTCACTGCAGGTTCAGCAAAGATATGTCATTTAAAAATGTGCTCCACAATCCCTCTGGGAGGCTAAGGCAGGAGGGTTGCAAGTTTGAGCCCAGCCTAAGCAATTTAGTGATGAAGCAGAACTCTCACTCAGAAGACAAGAGATGGGATGGGGAGGGCTAGGGCAGGGCAAGAAGTTTGGAATGTTCAGTGTAAAGGCCCTGGGTTTAATTCTTAGCATCATGAAAAAAAGAAACAGTCCTTTTCTTGTCTTCTGAGATGATCTAGGAAATTGTGACTAATAGCAACATTTAAAAAACAAAACATAAGACACAAAAGATCCTAGGATAAAAATCATGGAGTAGGATTTCCAGCCTTAGGAGGGTAGAAGGTCCTTAGAGTCATGTTTATGGTTGATATTAAAAGTTGGAGGTGGTAGAGGAAAATGAAATGTGGCCCATAAGAGTTTATCTAGTCCCAGGAATATTTCAGAAGGACATTGGTCTATGGTCCCTAGTAGCCCAGGGCTTCTGTTTTAGTCTGCTTGCTTTTTCCATAACAAAATACCTGAAACAGAGTAACTTATAAAGAACAGAAGTTTATTTAGCTTAGAATTCTGGAGTCTGAAAAGTCCCAGGAACATAATGCTAGCATCTGCTTGGGGTCTGGTGAGGGCCTTCTTGCTGTATCTTACCATGGTGAAGGACATCACATGGCAGGATAGAGCAAGTCTGCATCAATTCGAGTCTCATAAAGTCACTAATTCCATCAAGGAAGTCCTGACTCTCAGGATGTCTAATCCTAGTTACCTCTTAAAGGCTTTACCTGAAGATACATTAACATGATTTTAGGGATTAATTTTCTGTGTTAGCTTTCATTTACCACAACAGGCATCAGAGATTAGTCAACTGCTTCACAGTTTGGGGGCTTTCAGTCCATGAGCAATTAGCCCTGTTGCTTTGGACCTGTGGTGGGGCACAGAACATCATGGCAAGAACATGTGTTAGAGGAGGCTCCTTCATCTTTTTGGCTAGGAACAAAAAAAAGAAGGGCCTGGTTTCCCAGTGTCCCCTTCGAAGACACCCTCCCCCCCATCCTACATCTCTGAGTAGTCAGTTATCATATGGCTTGAATTGGATCACCTGAAGGGTGTTTTTAGGGAAAGGGGACGGTGCTACAGACTGCCAAGCCATGGATAATCTAAAAGATGACAAGGCAGAAGAACTTAGCCTTTCCAAACTTTCCTGGAGGCATGAAGCAAAATTGGTACAATGTTTGTGTTTAGAGGGAGAAAAATGGAGCTTTTTTTCCTCCCATAATTACAAAACCTAAGAGGACAATTTGTAGACCTTGAGATAGAAGGAATCTTATAGCTTTGATTTAATGAAGTACTTGTCTTTCATTTATTCTTGAGACTGTGATATTCTTGAGAAAGCCACAGTATTTGTATCACCCAATTTGAAATACCAGGCAATGTGCCTTTTCATTCGTTCATTTTGGATAAAGTTGAAGTGGAGCTGAAATTCCTGGGACCACCCTGCACTCTGATACTGTGTCACAGGAAGGGAAGCATTGCGTTTTGGAAAAAGAAACTAAATTGGGAGGGAGAAACTTCTTATATTCAGGTCATGGCAGTATACAAAAACTTTTTTCCATACCGAGCTAAATGATGAGGGTTGCAGACAAGAGTTACACATGGCTGGGCCTCTAGGAACTTATGCAGGGTGATGGGAGGAACATCAGTTCAGAAATGTCACCACTGTCATCCAGGCAGAATGCCACACTCTAGGGGCAGAGACCCTCTGTGAAGTTATGTTGCAATCAGGACGTGTCTTACTCATTTTAGCTTAAAATAGCCTTGTTTGTTCCCCTTGGGGTGGGATTTGAAAAACATTTATTCCCATCCAGTCAATTGTCATACTTTTCTCAGGCCTTATCCTGGGACTTCATTGCCATGGGAACCCTGTAAATAGTGACCAGTCCATGTCAGTAATTATGTTTTTTAAAAAGTAAATATCACCAAGTTTAAGAAACTGGTCTTTCTCTGAACATGACAGCTGGAAATAAGAATCCTCCTTCCTGTGAGATGAGAAGGGAGGATTTTCTAGTGCAAATTTGAGTAGGAGAAATGGTCCCTAAGGTCTGAGCACCTGGATGACTTCCTTTCTGATATCATCTTCATCCAGGGACAGCTACTGAACTGCCAGTCCCTGAAGCTACCCTGGCCTTTGTGGCCATGGCATTGTAAGAAAAGCACAGCCTCTGTGCTCTGGGTCAGAGGCAAATGTAAGCTGAGCTGGATTCATTGCTTTGTCCTGTGCCCCTCACCCCATCTCTGACCTGAAGGGAATGAAAAACCCAATAGCCAAATATTCTAGGATAGGAGTCAGCAAACTATAGCCCATGGGTCAAATCCTGCACTGCCTATTTTTATAAATAAAGTTTTATTGGAGTACATCCATGCCCACTTCATTACATGCCCATGGCGGTTTGGCTCTGTGACAGCAGAGTTGAGTAGCTGTGACAGAGACCAAATAGCCCATAGGCCTAAAATATTTACCTCTATTTTTAACCAGTTTGTCAGCTCAGTTCTAAAAGAAGTAGAGTAAGAATTGATGAGAAACTAGAGAAAGAATTTCCAAAAGAAAGCTGTATTTCCCAGAGAAACTTGAGGCAATTACCAGGGCGAAGAAGGAGCCAGCAGGAAATCTGCCCCATCAGACTTAAAACTGAGGAGGCAACTGAACAACTATTCCTTACCTTTGAGAAAGCCTGAGGGAGGAAACAGTCATTTCCTAAAAGGAGGTTTTAGCCCCTTGTAACCATGGAGGATTAAGACATCATGGCATGTGAGAGCTGTCTGTATGTACTGAAAAAGTTCTTCCTGGGAAGTCCACAGACAGGTTTTTACCAGTCAGCAGATGGAGAGTGGTGGGGGACAGGAGACTGCTTCCATGCTGGATTTGAATTTGTCTGATTTAGGCAGCCAAAGATGTGTTTGCCCAGAAGACTAGGGGGATGTAGGTCAAAGGAGATGAAGCAGTTTTTAAAGGCCCAAACTGCAGCTGTTGGGACTGTTCCCTGAAAGGAAAAATCAAGAATTTGACTCAATGGCTTCAGTTGACAAACTGTACTCTTTGAACTTTGTACAAAGGAAAAGTCGTGTTCAAGTATTTTGAGGCTGTAGTGTACTCGCTGCCTTGCCTCAGAGAGGTACTTCTCAGTTCCTTAGGAAACAAACTGGCCATTTACTCAGCCAGGCCCATCCAGGTTCAGGCTCAGGAATTCTGAGTTTCAACCTCAGGCTCCCAGTGCAGGGCACAAGTCACTTGATTGGCTGGTCTCCTGCTTTTGGACCCATAAGGCAGTTGGATCCCCAGCCTTTAGAGAGTCTTGCCTGAGCCAGGGCTTAAAGTTTGCTTATAGCATTACCCAAGTTTGAGAAGCCTGTTAGGTTGATGGAGTATTCATTAGAATAAACACTTTGTTAAATTATTAAATCTATTGCTGCATAATAAACCACTCAGCAATTTGATATTTTGTTGTTTATTTATATAAGATGAACAACATAAGTATTCATATACATAGTGAAATGATTACTACAGTCAAGCTGATGAACATATGAAAAAAGTTACCTTTTTTCTATAATAAGAGTGCTTGAAATCTCTTTTGGCAAATTTCCACTACATAATATAATATTAACTACAGTTATTATCCTGTACATGAGCACTTCATAATTATTCATCTTACATAACTCCATGTACTTTGACCCATATCTTCCTGTTCCCTCCACTCACCTCACACTTCTGGTAACCACCAAGGTTCTGCCATCTGTTTATAGTTATTTTACTTTTTAAGACTCCATGTGTAAGTGAGATCATGCAGTATTTTTCTCTGTCTGGCTTATTTCACTTAGCATAACGAGTTTCAAACTCACGTTGTAAAAAAATGGCAGAATCTCCTTTTTAAGCCTAAATAATATTCCATTGTACAAGTTGTGATTGAAAAATATAGTTAATGTTTAAATTTCATAAATTTTTGTTACAGTAAAAGACACATTGCCGTTAATCCTCCTTACTTCAAACACCCTTATCCCACCATTCTTGCCGCTTTCCAAAGCAGTTCTGGAAATCCTCTTACATGAGTTTCTTTAGTTATGCTGTTGTGGCTGCCTTGATATCCTGTATCAATTAAAAATGTTTACCTTTCATGGTAATTTTAACTCTGAGGAAGAATCAGAAGTTGAACAATGCCAAGTCTGGTGCCTAAGGTGGATGAGGACACACTCGTGTTTTTATGAGGCTACTTTTCCATTGGATGGCTCTTAGCAACATTCACTGTATTTTTGATCACATCTTATAAAGACACTCAAGAAAGAAGATTTCCAGAACTGCTTTAGAAAGTGACAAGAATGATGGAATGTGTTAAAACTGAGAGGGAATATTTTGAGAGGGATTAATGGCAATGTGCCTTTTACTGTAATAAATTTTTAAAAATTTGAACATTCACCATGTATTTTGATCAGCCATTGCATCAACACAGTCCCCACCTTACAATGGTTGGACTTCTGATTTTTTCATCTTTATTGCAACCATTCTGTTTTTACTTTCAGCATAATATTCAACAAATTATACAAGATATTTAATATTTTATTATAAACAAGTTTTGTGTTAGGTGATTTTATTCCATTGTAGACCAGTGTAAGAGTTCTGAGCATACTTAAGATAGATTAGGCTAAATTATGACGTTATGAGGGGTAAGTGTATCAAATACATTTTTTACTTATACTATTTTAAATTTATAGTGGGTTTATTTGCCTGTTGACAAGTTGTTTCTATATCTTGGCTATTGTCAATATTGCTGTAAGAAACTTTGGAGTGTATATAACTCTACAAGCTGCCAATTTCATTTCTTTGGCTATCTATCAACCAAGAAGAGAAATTGCTTGATCATATGGTAGTTTGATTTTTAATTTTCTGAGGAACTTCCATATTGTTTTCTATAGTAGCTATACCAATTTATGTTCTCACTCTTAATGTACAAGGGCTCTTTTTTCTCCACACCTTCACCCAACACTAGTTATTCCTTGTCTTCTTGGTACTAGCCATCCTAACGTGTGTGAGGTGGTCTTATTTTGGTTTTGATTTGCATTTCCCTGGTGATTAGTGATGTGGCTTTTTCAGCAGAAACCTTGTAGGTCAGAGAGGAGCAGAATGATAGGTCCAAAGTGCTGAAAGAAAAAAACCTGCCAAACAAAAATACTATACCTAGAAAACTTGCCCTTCAAAAGTGAGGGGGAAACAAAGACTTTTTCACCACTAGGCCTGCTTTACAAGAAACACTAAAGGGAGTCTGAGTTGAAAAGACTCTAAACACCAATAACAGAACATAATGAAGTAGGAAACTCATTCATAAAGGCAAATATGTAGACAAAAATGAATATTGTATTATTGTAAAAGTGATGGGTAATAATTTTCATTTCTGTGATTGTTATCCAAGGATCTTAAAAGATAGAATAACTGAATTATCTTAAGGGTTACATAATATAAGTAGTTGTGAAGTGGAATATCAAAATGCAATGGGAAGAGGAGGCTCCCCAACTGCCATTCCACTGCTCCCAGGGCACAGGAGGTGAGCCAATCCCAGCACCCAGGAGGAGGTTCCTGGGCCACCTTTCCACCGCTCCCAGGGCAGAGGAGGTGAGCCAATCCCAGTGCCCAGGAGGAGGCTCCTTGGTCACCATTCCAATGCTCCCACGGCAGAGGAGGTGAGCTGTGTGGGTGCCAGCAGCACACACACACACCCCACCGTGGAAATGAGAAGACAGGTAAACAAGCCTCAAAAATAGGCTTCCAGATCACCTACAGCAACCCCAAAGGGAAACGAGATGGACAAATCTGATACTCAACCACCTGGACTCCCTGAATTGGCAACAAAAGAGGATCTGGAAAAAATAAAATCAGAAATAATTTCTCAGATAACAGCAAAGATTGTGCTCATAGTGCAAACATGATTAATAAATGTAGAGAGAAGCTGAGGAACATGATGGAATCCCAACATAGGAAACAAATGGAATCCATAAAACACAAACAGATAGATTTCCAGGAGATGAAAAACTCCATTGAAAGTCTACACAGCAGAATGAGCCAATGTGAGGACAGAATTTCAGATATAGAAGATTAGATTGCAATTACTGACTAGGAAAAGAAAAATTGCTTTAAAATTGTAAGGGAACATGAGAAATCAATCCTCCAGCAGCTGCTAGACGACGCAAAGAAAAATAACATCAGACTGATTGGAGTCAATGAAGAAACAGGAGAGAGTGCAGATGACATAAAAAAAACTGTTCACAGAAGTGATGGCAGAAAACTTCCCAAGCAGGGGAAAAGAACCTGACACACAGATAAGTGAGGCATATAGGACTCCAAATAACCTTGATCAAAAAAACTCTACACATAGGCATATAATAGTTAGGATTCCGAAACTGAACCGAAGAACAAAATTCTACAAGCAGTGAGAGAAAAGAAACAAATCACATAAAAGGAAAGCCCATCAGAATCATACCAGACTTCTCAATGCAAACCCTTAAGGCAAGAAGAGCTTGGAATGATGTATTTCAAGCCCTAAAGGAAAACAGCCTCCAACCCAGATTGATGT